ATGCCCGGCTTTTTTTTTGATTTATTGTAGAGATGAGGTCTCCCGGCCCGGGCGGGTCTCGACCCCGCGGGCTCAGGCAATCCACTCACCTCAGCCTCCCAAAGGCACGGGATTACAGGCTGAGCCACCGAGCCCGGCTCCGTCTTGGTTCTGGGTAGGGCTCGGTCCCCAAGAAGACTCTTTCCTTGGTTAGGGTTTCTCATCAGTGTCTGCTAGGAAAAGAGACTGGCTTTGCTTAAACTCTGACCTTCCTGCTGGCCCCGCTCCTGTGTGAGATCAGCAGAATCCTTCTTGTGTTTTATAGCTTTTGGGTTAAGCCTTGGGGAAGTTGCTAGAAGCTTCCAGAAATCAATCCCTGCTGGGCTGAGGAGGAGGAGACCAAGAGGCTGGTATTGTGTATCCTTTGTCCATTTAAAAACCAGGCTTTCACTGGGCTTGGTGGCTCAGCCTGTAATCCCGTGCCTTTGGGAGGCTGAGGTGAGTGGATTGCCTGAGCCCGCGGGTTCGAGACCCGCCTGGGCAACTTGGCATGACCTCATCTCTACAATAAATCAAAAATCAGCCAGGCGTGGTAGCGCACGCCTGTAGTTCCGGCTACTCGGAAGGCTGAGGCAGAAGGATCACTGGAGCTCAGCGGGTCGAGGCTGTGGTGGCTGGGAGCGGCCACTGCACTCCAGTCTGGGCAACAGAGTGAGACTCCAACTCAAAAAAAAAACAAAAAACAAAAAAAAAACCAGGCTTTCCATTGGCTGGGCACCGTGGCTCACACCTGTAATCCCAGCACTTTGGGAGGCCAAGGTGAAAGAATTGCATGAACCCACGGGTTCGAGACCAGCCTGGGCAACTTGGCGAGACCTCATCTCTGCAATAAATCAAAAATTTAGCAGGGCATGGTGGGGTGTGCCTGTGGTTCCAGCTACTTGCAAGGCTGAGGTGGAAGGAACGCCGGAACCCAGCAGGTCGAGGCTGCGGTGGCCGTGAGCGTGCCACTGCACTCCAGCTTGGGCGATGGAGTGAGACTTTGACTCAAAAAATAAAAAATAAACATAAAAACCAGGCTTTCCAGCATCTTCCCTCCGAGTGTGCTGCGTTTAGAGCCTCCGGCACCCACGGTCATCTGTAATTCTAAAAACTCCTTCCAAAGCTGGGTGTTCTCACTCTGTCATCTCCAACTCCGGCCCCCTTCCTCTAAACAGACAGCTGTGAGTTCACTTTTGCAAATCTCCTAGTGGGTGAGATCCAGGGCACTTTATCAGAATTAGCCACCAGCTCCTTTCTGCTAGTTCTGCCCACACCTGAATAGCTAAGACAGCTCCCCTTATTTTCCATATTGTTCCAGAAAGGGCTTTGAGGAGGGTCCATTTCAGAGCTCTTCCCCCCTTTCGCTTGGCTCCTGGTTACTCAGCAAGATGTAGAGCTCTGAGCCTGGTAGGGGCAGCAGCTAGAATTAGGGAGCCAGAGAGAGAGAGACAGAGACAGAGGAGGAAGGAGAGAGAGACGGGGTGGAGGGAAGAGAGACAGGGCGGGGGGAGAGAGAGACAGAGAGAATGGAGAGAGACAGAGGGACAGAAAGGAGAGAGACAGAGAGAGGGAAGAGAGACAGAGCAAAGAGAGACAGAGAAAGAAAGGAGAGAAGAGAGAGGCCAGACGCTTACATCCGGGGTGCAGGTGGCCAGCCCTGTGGCAGCCCAGCCTTCTAGGGGGCAACTGGGAGAGCACTGGTACAAAAGGCTTTGGACCAGAAAAGCAGGACACTGGTCG